GGGTCCCCTAAACTAGGCCCCGTATTATAATAGGGACCCAAAAAGGGACCATAATTTTGACAATCCCCCATGTAGGGGGATATGCATTGACATGTAGGGGGTTCATACAGGGATATATGGGGAGAATCAAATCAAATGAAATGGCAACTGGGTTTAGGGTTTAAAAGTTTAGGGATTCGGGAGCCAGACGTTCACAAGCCATCACAACTGTGCAGGCCAGCATATGCGCTCCTGGTATCCCCCTTAACAACCCCTATAATGCTGCCCTATAGTATATTCCCTGTACAACCCCTCTTGAAGTAGTTTAGACTGTAGCTCATATGCAACCTTGATCCCACACCTGACACCGAGACAGGAGCAAAGCGCCAGCAGAGATCTTCAGTACCTGGAAGACCAGGAGACAAACCTACATGCCAGGGTTCAGGTTCACAAAATAGGGGGATCCCCATAAAGTCCCCAAAAAACTATAATCCTTACTATAGGGACCCCTAAAAAAAGGTATCCCTATTTCTAAATTGGATGCCCGCAAATCTGGCAGCTGGACATTCCGGCAAGTCTCAACTTACCTTCGGTTAGCTGGGAATGAAGGAATGGAGAAGACAGCGGAAACTTCTATACTGGGGTATTATAGGGACTACTGTAAGGAAGGGATCCTTCCTTCATTCCTAGCTCAAGAGAAGGTAAGTCAACACCCAGCCATCCATCCATCTGGATAGGAGGGGCAAGCAGGCCTGCCTCCATCACGAACAAATGAATCTAGGTTTAGATTAGGGTTTGGGATGCATACATGCATACATAGATACACACATACATACATACATACATACATACATACATACATACATATGCAGACATGTACGTATGCTTGTGTGCGCAGGCTACTGCAATCTGGAATGGGGGATATCTAGTGGAAGATTGTGGAAGAAATGACGTAGTTTCCCTACATAGCGGGACCCCAAGGCAGAATCCCAAATTCTTAGGTACCTAATAGAGAGGAATCCGCAAAATGGTCCCCTCATTTTGGGAAACCCAATTCCCTACAAACTCCCGTATAGTCCCAGTTTCCATTTCATGTCTTTTCCATTTGGTCCTCCATTATTAAGCGCAGTTTTGGGCATGCAGCCAAATAAATTCAGGCATCCAAAGAACATGCCTTTGCTGGACATTTTTTCTAGGAAACATGTACGTTTGCTACTTCAGCTATGAACATCATGACTTTTCTTGGTGCTACTGTTCTCCTTTTTGCTATTGTTATTAATATTCTTACAACTATCATGTTAGCACGTTAACACTACTTGCCAGAATGACATACGACTGCTGGAGTCTGGGCGCACCAAGCCGAGGCCAATTATCCCGAAAGGCAAGAAGGCCACTAGGGGTAACTCTCCTCGCACGTACCTGCATGCTGAGCTTGTCCAGTACATCCGCAGGATGGTGACTTGCAAAGTGTAGAATCACATCCTTGTTTTTGAGGGCTTGAAGCTCACACTGGGGATTCTCACAGGATCCAGGCATCGGAAAAGAAGAGGCCTTTGAAGGCAGGGCGCACCAGACCGCCAACACGCAGGTGGTGGTCAATGCCTTCGTGCTTAGCTAGCGCAAAGAGAATGTCTAATTGACCGTTTTCCTGCATCATCCTGGGTAGCCATGGCACAGAAATCTAGGATTCAAAAACCCTGCCGCCTCTGCAGCATGCCGAGCCAATCGCTGTGGGTCCGACCTGCTCAAAGTGTTGTGCTTCACTGCTTGGAGTTGGGCAAAGGCTGCATTGTTGAACATCTTTTGCAGCTGACTGCTCACGTCTATCTGAGGCATCTGAGGCTAAGAACGTATAGAAGCGTCTTGCACGCAGCGAGCGTGGAGGGGGCCGGTGAAGTGGCAATGATGCCTTGAAGGGGGGACTGCCCATCATCAAATCACTCAGCGGCTTCGGCGGATCTGCACTGAAACGTGCAATCGGTCATAATCAGTCATTGATCATTGACATGGTGTTGCAGGTTTCCTGCTGCGATGTCAGGTAGTGATGTTGCTAACAGACACTACTGCTATTGATAGAAGAATTGATGAGTAAGTACAAGTGTCGCTGCCCCCACGTTATCCGGCCAGAACCCTGCAAGGACCGGAACGAATGGTTATTGCTGCAGCATGCTGCAGCGCAAATGAAGGTGCAAACTTTGCCACTCTGAGGTTCGCTGCCGCCAGCACCGCAAATTTGTGGACAGTTACCTGGGTGGTGAGGTGAAACAACGCCCCAGAATGCGTCACCACAGCCAAAGGCATGGGCAGGCCTACGGGTGTTGGCTTACTGAGCACTGCAACATTTCGTTGTGAACATGTTGAGAAAACTTGCGCTTGCTGCCCAGGCACGCAGCCGAAAAGGAGGACGAATAGGACGCGAAAAACAAGGGGCAACGCTGCCTCTGGCTACAATGCATGCCCTCCTCCCTGAGGTAGGATTACCGCACAGGCTTTGCAAGAAGAATCCTGATATCTTGGGCTCACGAAAGGGTATCAAAGCTAGCCAGAGCCCCATTATTTCCAGGGATCTGCGCTGCGGTCAAGCAGTGTAGCAACTGAAAATCAGGCCTCCTTGCCCTGCAGGCAGTCTTGGAAGCCCATCAGCATCATCACCAGGACAGCACTGCAGGCAAACGTCTATGCGTGATTCAGAAGAAGCCATCCAGCGGAAGTCCAATCAGATTGGCTATTCGAAGCAGCTACTCAGCTACTTCAGGCATATGACCTGGCCCCTTTGTGGGCAGGACATGCAGATCTCGCCTCCGCACCAGCTGCCCTGCAAAGTCCTGCATGTAGTGAAACCTGGGGTGCCAAAGTCTGAAAAGTCAATCGACCGTCACGTGCTTTCAAACTTGCGCGGTGCGAGGCAAGAGGCGGGAGCGAAGGGGTCATAAGACAAACAAACAACAAGGGCGCCCTGCGCAAAGCTGCCGATTCCCGGCTGCTCCTCCCTGCCAAGATACCTTGGGCAAGAAGCACGACAAACTGCGGCCCATAGCTTTGAGACCCCATGACTATGAGATCGAACTTGACAATGTCCTCGCCAAACTTGGACCGCGCTGCGGTTCCCGGCAAACGCCGCACCGCGGTCGCCCGGCACCTCCCATGTTCTGGATGTGCAGCATTGTGCAGCTTTGTTTTGCTTTCCCATGGACTCTATGAGGGAAGCCTGAAGGTCGGCTTGGGGCGAATTTGTCATGAAGTTTAGTTTCCCAGCAAGCGCGCTTCCATCACATGCACTCAGAATCACACATTCGACCATACAGGCCTTGGTGGCTGGCTTGCTGCACGGCGTAACAGAAATACCAAATAAGAGCAATCGACATTGTTGCTAACCGGAATTAAACGGACACAGTACGTTTGTGAGGCCTCCAGCCCTGCGCAGATGCCTCATCCACCTGGCAATTGCGAACTCTCAGCTGAGTAGATGGTGCATACTGCAAAGCAAGATATCCGCTCAGCCGCTCACTCGCGCTGTACTTTCTAATTGATGCGACCAAACGAGCAAGGCGAGCTGCTCCACGCACGAGGCATGAACGCCGCTCATGGACCTGACATGTACATTTCTTGTGGGAGGAATCTTCATAGCACCGTTTACGGTCGAATATCGTCACACACATGCATGCAAGAAAACATCAACAAGTCCCCTTCTGTTTTTCTGTCCACACAGCCAGAAAGGACATGCTCATGGACTCTTGCAAGCTTTCATATTTGCATCCATGAGGCGTGAACTTAGATTAGCCGTTCTAATCGGAGAAGCAAAGTAGCACAACTGATGACGAGCAAGCTTTTTCTCCCCCAGGCGCCGTCCCGCAGATGTCCTGCTTGACATGCCTTGGACATTGGAGTCGGTCGACGGGCTTCAAACGCCCGTCACAGAGAACTTTGCCACTCCAAGAGTTTTCAACACAACATCTTGGTCCAAGCTCTAGTTGCAACCCTGCCAGGGCACACGTGCAAATCTGGAATCCAAAGAGCGCTAAAACGCGTGGCTCAATTCTAGGTCTGAAGAGGAACAGCTGACATATGTACCAACACGTCGCGCCTTACTCTGTTCATTGAAGTATACCCTGCCGTTGATTGGCAATGCATCTGCTTGCAACAGCATTCTCCAATGTTATGGTCTCTCGCAGTGGCAGGCTGCTAACGTTATCTTAAAAAAAGATATTTGGACAGCTTCGCAGGCAATGCGCGCTGGCTGATGAAGCCCAACTCAGGCTGTGTCCTTGCCGCCTTTTGTGAAAGTACTGCAGCCATCATCTGACCATGTTGCTATATGTTGCTGCCTCACACTACTTGCTCGCAACAGCATCCAACAGCACCGTGCATGTCTGGGCTTTCATGGCTTTCTCGGGCGGCCACATGCAGGTGACCACAGATCAGTACTCACCGTTGAAGCTAGAGTCCTTGACCTGAGAAGCTTTCGGACAAGGACCCACCATTTGGGGAACTCTTGTGTGCAAATGTGGCCGGACTTGAATCATGGTGTGAGATGAGCGGCTGTGCCACCCCGCGTGGAACCTGGTGCGAACCATTCAAAGAGATCCTGCACATCCTTGGCGGCAGCCGCGCAAATCGCAAGTTTGCCTGGTGATGCCTCACAAGCCTGCGCGCTTGTCTCTCTACTCTCTGTGGCCCATGTTACAACTCACCATTTGAGAGACTGATGCCAAGTCTCGTCCAAGTTCATGGATACAGGCGAGTAGTCCACAGGTGGCTGCGCGGGGCAAGCATTGTCTATGACGCAGAACTTCCTGACAGCCAGGAGCTGACATATGCACGGCCGCTCTCTAATACACCAGCTCCTGGGCCCTTTGCACCCGGCCACATCTCAATGCAATCAAGTAGCGACCAAACAAATCCTGAGACGCGAGGCAGGCCAGCAACTTCAACAGAATCACACCAAACAACTAAGTCAACAACTGTAAGCAAACCAGTTTACCACTTTCCACATGTGTGGAGCAAGCATCAGGACAGAAGACTCGCAATGACTCCTCACGAGGGAAGTTGCCTGTACCCTTAGTGGGGGTGATTGTCTTGGGCCTACGGATATCACTGTCTTCTCCTGCAAGCCAAGAGTCCGTTCTTTTCTGCAGCCGCCCTAACTTTGGCTTCTGCTGCAGCAGAAAGCGTGGGCGTTCTTGCATACACGAAGCCACCTGCCGATCAGGTCAAATGATCAACCAGCAGATCTGCCAGTATCAGTCCCAAGCTCTTGGCAACTCACAAGTAGACACAGGCAGCTTCACACTCTTCAGCTTGCAGCGGAATCTTGACTTGAAATTGGCTGCGTAGCGTCTGAAATCCGCCGCCTCTGTAGGCATCCTGTCATCTGCAGCTGCGATTCTAGCTCTGCACAAGGAACCGACCGAATCAAAACAGATTTGGGGAGGAAACACTTGAATGACGTTGGACGGTGCCCAATCCTGTAGGTTGTTGCCAACATATGCTGTCAGCACGAAATCTTCATCTGCGGCCAAGACGTACCACTCCTCTTGGAAGGAGAGCCCGAAGATTTCGCCCTTTGCGAACCTTTGTAGCTTCAGGGTTTGGTAGGCCTCTCCCTATCAAGATGCAGTTTGCCTTTGTCTTCTGCCAGGGCACAAGGTGCTGCGATCACTGGGAGCTTGGACGCTCATCTTTTCTGTCAGTTTGTTCTCCCAGTATCCACCAGAGCGTAGCCTCCTGGTGGAGGGAGGAAATCCATGGCCGATTCATGCACAGCTAAGGTCTGCGGCTAACCCTGACGATTCGCGTTGGGCCTTCGGGGTTTGTCATGAAATCCAGGAAAAGTTACTGTAGTGGAGCCAAGAAGCGCAAGTCGAAGAGAGACTTCTGTCTCCACGGTGTTGTCTGATGCGTTGTACTTGAAGGTGTTTGTTTGACATGGGTAGCAGTCATACTTCTTGTTGTAGCCGCGGACTTTAAACCTGGGATCTGAGCAGCAGGATCACTTTTTGGCGGCGCGCGTGTCTGGAAGAAGGGAGTTTCCCGCCCTTAAGCTGCGTCTGTGACACCATTTGCCGTCCAGCTTGCGGACATCAAAATCCTTGAGCTTGGTTGGCACTTGCTCCGCGTAGAATTTCTTCACGTCCTTTGCTTTGTGACCAGCTGCAGCAGTTATTCCAACAAAGGGGAACCCGCAAACGTCAAAGGAGCTCGACTTTGCTAAGCAAGAGGCATAGGTTCCAGCAGGAACGCTGACACACTGCTCCTTCTCAACTGTGCAGTTCAGCCAGGCGTCCAACCTGCAACGGCTAAATAACTTTTGACCCTGTGGCTCCGAGTCGAAGAGCCGACGCTGCGGCGGCAAAAACCCTCATAATGCAAGGAATCTGCAATCTGCACCAGCAGAGATCTTGTACATTCACAATACTCCTGCCTTCCTGTCCTCGCCAACAAGATGTTTCAGAAAAACCTCTTCCAACCCTACCCTCACCCACCTTAGCCGACCAAATCTTTGAGGAAAACCTCTGCCAACCCTCCCGCGGACCAATCTTTCAGGAAAACCTCTGCCAACCCTACCCCCGCCCACCCCACCCCGCGAACCACATCTTTCAGGAAAACCTCTGCCACCCCCCACCCTAACCCACCAAATCTTTGAGGAAAACATCTGCCAACCATACCCCTTCACCCCACCCCCGCCGATCACATCTTTCTGCTTACCCTACCACCACCCTAACCCACCAAATCTTTCAGGAAAACCTCTGCCAACCCTA